CTATTTTATTTTTGCTTAGTGTATTAAACTGCATAATCAATTTTCAATTTTTCAATAGTTTTGGTTGAAATTTTACAACTATGTTTACATTTGCAATGTGTCATATTATTTCCTGCGGTGCAATTGTATAATTCATAGAAACTATTTTTCTGGTTTTCAGTGTAATTTTATATCATGTTATGATATTGATTTAGATGCAGATTATTATGTAAAGAACATATCAAACTAAAGCTGATATAATAAAATTAATGCAGCATATAATTCTGAGCTGTATTATTGAGACCATCAATTATAAAATTATAACATTGTTGGAGATAAAATTGTCAAAAGAGATTTGCAAGTAGCAAAGTCTTTTGTAATCGCTTGTCTTAATGTTACACTCAAAATGAAAAGAGGTTTAAAAGTTTTGAAAATAAGTCATGAGAACCATTCAATGCATTACTCCTCTCAGGATATGCACACAATTAGATAAAATATAGTGGTGAAGAGAAAAGGGGTTTTCTATTAAAATCCTGAAACTACCAAATTCTGAAAATAATATTCCTCTTACAATTTCAATAAAATGTAATTATTAAATTTGCCCATGGGCGGATTTAGATACTGGAGGCCTTCAAGCAAAAGCCTATAATGGGCACTTCTTCAGAAAAATCTTTAAAACTAAAAAACTAATTATGAATAAATCTAAAAAAGAACTAATTATGATAGAATAAATCATTGTTCCAAAACAGATGTAAATTAACAAAGGGCATACAAAGTAGACATTGCTTTTTAAAGTTCTCATTTACAAATATATTTTAGGTTTCTTATTGTTCCATTCAATTTAGTTTTAAAATCAAACGACGTTCAGTTAACCATTTGATAAATGATTATTCAGATAAAAAAATTATGAGGGTTTTAATATTTATTTTAAAAAACCCGAGCACGGGGATGGGAGTACGAAGCATAATTTTGCTAGGAGGAAATCCAGCTCTGCATGCACTTATGCATGGCTGATATTAACACCAGCAAAACAATATTTTATCATTGCAACTCATTTAAAGTCACTAAAAAGTATATTTCGTTCTGAATTGAATGCCCACTCAGTAGCTCTACAGATTGAGGTGCTGATCTATGCTAAAGTTTGCTACTATGAGTCCTGTGTAAGCAACTGCGGTGCAAAAGAATATGACAATCCACAGTGTATCTCCATAATAAAAAAAAGAATGTGAATAATTTCGAATAATTGAATAAATAATCATTGTTCAAGAGCAAAAAACTGACATACAGCACAATACAAAATTAAACTGTACTGAATGTTTAAAAAATTCTATAAATTTTCAAGATCACCCATTTTCTCGTAGGGAGTAGTATCAAAGTGAGTCATTG